CGGCTAATTTCTTTCTGTTTTTGGTAGAGACGGGATCTCGCTCTTGCTCAGGCTGGTCTCGAACTCCTGAGCTCGAACGATCCTCCATCCTCAGCCTCCCAGAGTGCTGGGATCACAGGCGTGAGCCACCGCGCCCGGCCAGTAATAATCATTAATGTAGCATTTTCTATCCGTGAAATGGGTAAGGATTCCTTCACGGCACCTCATTACATTTTCACGTTTATGACCTTGTTCACGGTCCACAAAGGCCTCATGGGGCAGAACGGGGTGGTCACTCACCACCCCACCTTCCTCCTTCCAGGCGCCGTGAGAAGCCACCTCGCCGACTTCAAAAAGCACCGAGCTGCCAGAATCGACCACTACGTCGTCGAAGTCAATAAATTAATAATCAGGTTAGAGAAGGTAAATTTTGTTGTTTTAAAACACTTCTTTTCCTGGAAGCACACATTTTCTGAGGCGAAAAAAGTCTCATTTCTGTGGCGTGTGTCATGAGTGTGGTTGACATGCGACGTGGGCAGGGACGGTGCCGCCCAGAGGGGCAGAGGACAGGGCGGGCAGTTCCAGCTTGGGCTGGCTCAGGGTGACAGGCCTGCCACGCTCCCAGCTTCCCGTGTCCCACCCGTGATTCCTGCTCGGCTGCCGGGAAACCCTTCCGCCCTCAGCTTCTGTCCTCTCTGTGGCGTCCGGGGCACAGCGACCGGCGGGGCGCGGAGTGGGTGTCAGCATTTACCGGCAGACAGGGATGACGACGGGCCTCCCTGCGCACCCGGGAAACGCCTGTTGTGTGTAACTCGCATCGCGTGTGGTGGGCCTGGGGGCGACCCCGCGTACGGTCCTTCCTGTGTGCCTTGTAGGGCAGACACACGTGTCCGTTTTGTGACTTTGCGCTGTCGGGGGTGACAGGCGTGACTCGCGGAGCGCGAACGTGCTCATTCCTGCTCGGAGTGTGAAGGGTGGGAGCTGTGGATTGCGTGTAAACGTCACCCCGTTAACTCCACGCGGCTGTGTTTCCTCCCGGGCAGCTCACCGCCTTTGACAGAACAAACACGGAGTCCGCGAAGATTCGAGGTACCTTTCGAGCTTTGCTTACGCCCTTTCCAGTCTTCACTTTTGTCCCTGACCAGATTTCTTTGTAAGCGGCCTGCTCTTTTGCTGGTTTGTTCTCCCCAAAGCGATCGAAAAGTCCGTGGTGCCCTGGGTCAACGACCGGGACGTCCCTTTCTGCCCGGACTGCGGCAGCAAGTTCAGCATCCGTAACCGCCGCCACCACTGCCGCCTGTGCGGGTCCATCATGTGCAGGAAGTGCACGGAGCTCATCGGCCTTCCCTTGGCAAGTAGGTGGCGTGCGGCCGAGGCCCCGCACCCCGGTTCTCTCCCGGGCCCAGCTTATTAGCTGATCGCCCCCGGGACCCCGCGACCCCGCGACCTCTTCGTCCCATATGTGGCCCACGGGAATCTTCCTTCGCTCACTCGCCGATTCTGTGAAGCCGCCTGCAGGGCGGGGGGTGCAGAGTCTGCACACTTTTTCTGTGAAGGATCAGACGGGGAATATTTCGGCTTTGTGAGCCACACGGTCCCCGCGACGTTTCTTCTTCTTTTTAATAACGTTTTGGAAACGTCAACACCACAGTTAGCGCGAGGGCTACACAGAAGCGGCCGGTAGACTGGCCCTGGCCCCCAGGTTGTCTTTCGCCCGCCTCTGGTCTGTAAGGACCGGTCCGTCACCCCAGGGAGTCCCGCATCCAGCAGCGGATGCAAAGTCACAGATCAATAGTTGCCTTATGAAGGGATTTGCGCAGTGAGAGAGGGTGTGTCGGATGCAGGGAGATGCTGGCTGACTGTCCGCTCTGCTCGGAAGGAGCAGATGAGGCTTTGAGAAAAGGGTCTTGAAAAATAAGCAGTGGGCCAGTCCCTTCCTTTGGGGTAGAAGCCACAGACGACTCCCCGCCACACAGAGAGAGCGAACAGTGCGGGAGGCGCCGAGAGCTGCGGAAGCTCCGGGCCGGGAGGCGACCTCCAGGACCGAGGCGTAGGGTCGCCGAAGAACTGGGAGGGAGGGCGTCTGGGTGGAGTGAAGAGCGGGAGCATGGGCGTGGAAGTTGGAGGTGCCAGGGGAGGCCGGCAGACGAGGGGACTGAATATAGGCGGAGGACACGTCTGAGCATCGTGGAATGGGGCTGCGTGCAAGGTCAGGCGGAACCAGTTTTCCCAGGCCTTTTTTTTTTTTTTTTTTGAGACAGAGTCTCGCTTTACTGCCCGGGCTAGAGTGAGTGCCGTGGCGTCAGCCTCGCTCACAGCAATCTCCAACTCCTGGGCTCAAGCGATCCTCCTGCCTCAGCCTCCCAAGTAGCTGGGACTACAGGCAGGAGCCACCATGCCCGGCTAATTTTTTCTATATTTTTAGTTGTCCAAATCATTTCTTTCTATTTTTTAGTAGAGACGGGGTCTCGCTCTTGTTCAGGCTGGTCTCGAACTCCTGACCTTGAGCGATCCACCCGCCTCGGCCTCCCAGAGTGCTAGGATTACAGGCGTGAGCCACC